GAATGAGTCCTTGCTAGTGACCTGAATGGAAACAGGTTCTCAATCTTGGTGTAATTTTTCACTGTCCCTATCATCATTTTAAGATGATCTTAAAATTTAGTTTCCATACAGTTAGACACAAGAGTCAAGGCTGACCTTGGTGGCTGCAGCCCGTGTGGGAGGCACCTTGTTGCTGCAGAGGTGGGTGGAGCAGTGTGGGAAGGGAAAGCTGCTCAAGCTGATGGATAGGAAATTGGTCACGTGGCCTTTCTGCTTTTACAGTTCAATACATCTTATGATGACTCTTGTCTGGTTTTTTTTTTGGAAAAGGAAAGGGAGTAACCACTTAAAACTTGCACAGGGATTCTTAGCAGAAACTTGTCTGTCAGCAGCGCACAGAAACATTCAGGAACTCCTGGAGTTGCCTTTTGCTGTCTAAGCAAAATCTTACATTTATAAAAGGTGGATTTTATTTAAAATACTATATACGGGTTAAATGTCTTTTTTAAATGAAAAATATTTAATTTCTTCGTGAGCGTATTTATGTTTGTACGTGCTTGGCTGTGCCTGGGACCCTGCCCAGCTAAACAAGGGGAGGGGAGGGAGCAGGGCAAGGCAGGTTTGCTCCCCACTGAACCAAGACAGGTATGTCTGCCGGGTGTTTGTAGCTTCTAGGGAACAACAGGAATGAGTTAACAAAAATTAGGCAGTTGTGTGTCAACAGAGAATTGTGTAGTACGTCCATGTTACCTGTGGTGATTATAGGAATACATGTAAGTTACAGATAGATTCCATTATTCTGTGTTTGTAACTAGCTTCATTAGATAACTCTGTAGCCATTGGCTCATTCTGTGTGTTAGCAGCAGCAGCAGCAAATCAACCAAATCAGAATTCCTTTGGCAGACCAGGTTTCAGTTAAAATTCATCTAAGAGCACATTAATTAAGTGCATGTTTCTGTTGGGGAGGCTTCCAAAAAAATACAACATATAAATGGTTCAGTCAAACAACACTATGGATGTGTCCAGAGGTTGTTTTGTTTTGTCTTCTGCAGGCTCATGGGTCAGATGCTTTGCACAAGGCAAGAACAAAAGGGAAGGATCTTTATGCCACTGTTGGAGTGTTTATCCAACGAGTGGCTGCTGTGGTGCAGTGTTGTTGGAACTGTCAGGGGTTCATACCTCTGGGGGGTCCACACGGATTGTGTGTGCACGTTCTCCCTGTTTTCACTTGCAGCAGCAGGGCAAATTGGTACTTCCTCCAAGCTTACTGTTTTGTGCCAAAACCTAAAAGGTAAACATTTTTTAAAACCATATGTGCTTAGGAGAACGTATTAAAAGTTGCCATTATTCTAGGAACTGATTTGGCTTCTGTTGCCTCCTGTCAGAGGGGAGACAAACTTGATTAAGATAGCAGAGACCCTGCACAAGATGTTTTGATCCTGCACAACTGGGATGTGGCTGAGCATAGAGGTAAAACTAGAAAGAACAGAGAACTGCATTTCAGAAAGGTTCTGTTACCATGCAGGTTTGAGACAAAAATAGATGCTAGAAAGAAAGGACTTACCCATGCTTGTGACAGTTTCAAGAGACAGAAGGAAATTCTTGTAGTATTGACATTTATTCAAAATGGCTTAAACCAAGCACAAATTTATAGCTTTCCAGTTTCACTGTTGTTGAAAAACTCAGCAATACCTGCACGTTAAAATACCTGTGGTCAAAGTTAAGTCTCCTGGAGTCAAACAGCAGCAGAGAGGGGAAGGAGAATGTTGGGTTTGGGCCTCATTTGGCTGTTACACAAAGGGATTGCACACAACATTTGAACAGTCTGGAAACTTCATGGTATTTTATTTCAGCTGCTTTTTGCACTTTCAGTTGTTTCATAGTGGAGTGTAAATTTGATAATAAATATATATAACATGCCATTTTTCAGTATATTTGTCCTTTTGTGTGGTTTGTTCCAGATGTCATCATCTATACTACAGTGTTCTCTAATAAACCTCAAATTAGGCCTTTTTTTATTTTTTTTGCTAAAATTTATTGATTGTTATACTGTAGATGAGCTTAGTGAGTTGGTATCTCCACTAGTGGTGGCTGTATAGGCTGAGGATTGTCTTTAAAAACGCTCAGGCTGGGCTGGGCTGGTTGCTGTTGTGTTTATCCCCAAGTGCTCAGAGGTGGCAGAGGGGCACTCTGAGCTGCAGTCTGACTTTGCACAGTTCCCTGTGATGCTGACAGCCAGAACAGAACGTTCACAGAGTGCCTTCAGCTACAGTTTGGAAAGCCTTTCACTTAACTATGCAAATGAAGAATTGCTCATCAGCCTCTAGACTGTATATTTGAATGTGAGCCCAACTTTAATCTGGAGGGTTGTGTGTATATGTTGGGTTTTTTCCCTCCAGTTACTTTACATCATATGACATGTTTATCTGTTAGGGTTATTGTTACCTAATAAGAACTCCTGTTTTTCCACCTCAGTAGCAGATGTTATGTCAGCCCTCTGTATTTGTGATTAAAATGGGGGTAGAGAGGGAAACCAAGCTACTTACCCTTCAAGAGCACTCCCTTCGTGTAGGTTGCACTGAAGTTCTCTTGTCAGAGAGGTGCCAAATTGGCATCAGTTGTGTCAGCCTGGGGCTGCTTGTGCCACCTTCCCCACCAGCCCCTGTGCTCACATTCCAGGCTGGAAGGGTCTGATCATTTTCCTTCAAACACTCGGTTCCTTCAGCAGCACAGAACGGGACCAACATTGGTGTGTAGTGAACAGCTTCCTACCTGACTCAGCCTAGGTAGGCTAGCAAGTAGGGAACTTTAAATTCTTTCCAAATAACTGTACTTGTGCACAAGTACTTAACATATGTGTAGCTGCATGTCCTCACAACAAAGGCCTTGTTTCCAACTGCATTAACGACACTACAGATGTGTGTCCCACAGCAGAGGTAAATGGCACCAGAGCAATGGTAGAGCTGGGATTTCTGGGTCTGTGCTGGGATTTCTGGGTATGTGCTTGCTCCTCCTCAAAACTGTTCATGGTGCATGTAAGAAGAAAATTGATGTCAGTGTCTAAGTTCCTGCAGAACTTGAGAGATTTCACCTGTCCTGAAGTGCCTCCAGTACAGCTGGCTGCTGCTTTGTGAGTGTACGTAGGATCTAGGACTTAATGTAAGAGTTTGGGGAGGCTATTTCCCCCCCTTGCTGGCTAGCACTTCAGCTGTAGTAAGGGAAGAGAGTTTTAACACTTTTGAAGCTGTAGGAAACGAGCTAGAATTAACCACAACAGCTCGGGCATGCCTGGAAAAGGTGGTAGGAAGAGCTTCCTGGAGAAAATAGGTTTATTAAGCCACCTAAATCAGTGGCACTTCAGCCATTTTGAAAATAAATTCTAGAGTGATTGTGCACAGGTGAGACTTGGAAGTACCTTGAGCTCCTTTGGTCATACAGCTAAAAGACTTTAGCCAGTCTGCCAGGAGCAAAGGCCTTTAAGTAGTGGTTTACAGAATGGAGAAATGAATACAAATAAGGCCTTTTGTCTGGGTTGGAGTCTCACCTGAAAAATATCTACTGCTTGCAGTTGGGCTCTGAGTGCATAGGTTTGGATAACCCAAGAGAGCTGTGCTTTCAGCAGAAATTTCCAAATTGGAAAGACAGAAAACTTGTGTACTGCTTTTGGCTGGAGTACAGACAGTTTCTTTCATAGTATCTAGTGCAGTGCTGTGTGTTGGGTTTGTGCTGGAGAGCGCTGCCAAGGCAGGGGCTCATTGCTGAGTGGTGCCTGCACAGCATTAAGGCCTTTCCTGCTTCTGACTGCCCTGCCAGCCAGCGGGCTGGGAGTGCACAAGGAGCTGGGGCACAGCTGGGAGAGGTAACCCCAACTGACCAAAGGGATGGACATTCCGTACCGTGTAACATCATGCTGAGCAATAAAACCTGGGGAGAAGGAAGGGGGGAGGTGTTGGAGTGCTGGTGTTTCTTCCCAGGGGACCATTACAGGTGGGTGATGGAGCCCCAGCTTTCCTGGCGATGACTGAACGCCCGCCTGCTGAGGGGAAGTGGTGAATGAATTCCTGGGCTTGCTTTACTTGTGCATGTGGCAATCGTGGGGGTTTTATCACTTTTACCCTTCCTCCTCCCTGGCAGGAGGCTCTTAAAATAATTCCTGTGAATATCTGTTTAGTTACATGATCACCTAGGTTGATACCGTTACTAATGCCAAAAGCTGCAACAAGGATGTCACAGAATGAGCATCTCATTCAAAACAAAACAGAGACATGAACAAAGCTTTAGCTTCTACTCATAGCTTGTAAAACATCCTGTGCTGATAGTAATCCCAGGAAGCAATACAGAACTGTTTTTAAGGAGCTGGGTCCTTACCTAGCGACTTCTCCTTCAGCTATGCTTAGAATGGAGACCTGAGGATCAGCCCATGAAGACAGGAGAACTGGACATCGTCGACCGTGAAGCTGTACCTGAGAACTGACTTTTCCCTGTTAAAACTACTTCATGTAGAGGATACTGTGAAATGCAGGTCACAGCCACATCCCGCTGAGGATGCTGGAGGACAAGTGCTTGACTTTTTCCTGAGGTGTACCAAGATGCTAAGAAGGAATGATTTTAAGGGGTAGGGAGAAGTAACAAAATGCACTGATGTGAGTTATATATATACCATAAAACTGGCATCCCCCTGCCTTTATTTTCTAGAAGTATAAAATACACCAGGCTTCGTAACAGCTGCCTTATAAAATTTGCACTGGAAAGATGCTTTGCTAAAGCAACAGCTGACAGGACACTGAGCATGCTGAGCAAATCACAAACAGGAGACTGAGCTGAGATGCTTTCAAATATAAAGTGTGGCACAGATTAATACATATTTCTTAAGGCTTTCTCTCCACAGTTGTATTTTCAATAAAAATATTTTCCCTTCTGGTAAGAACAGACACTGAAAGGCTATTGTGTTAGTAAATTTTCAGCAGATACCAGCTGATTCCAGGCTGCTGCAGCTCCCTCTGCCTTGCAGCTCCCCCCGTTTAGTTGACAGGAAAGATGAGCCTTTTCCTCAGCGTGAAACTGGGCTGAGGCATCTGCTTCTCTGCTTTTGGCTGGCAACTCTTCCTGCTCACCTCTTGATTCACAGCTGTAAGGATAGTGAGGATATCTTCTCCTCTGCAAAAACACAAATATGTTTTGTATTAAGGAGAGTTAACACCAGAAAAACCACCTCATCCTCCTGCACCTTGATCTACACCAGCGCTAATGGCTCCTGTTTTAAACAGGCTTCAAAACAGACTGCTTCAAACAATCTGTGTGGTGGTGCTCTGTCCTACACTGCTGTTTTCACTCTGAGCAAGAACTCCTGCTGCAAATCCTCTACCTCTGCATCCAGATCAAAGCTCCTGTCATTCAGAAGGAAAACAGCGGTCTCACCAAAAAAGCAGCTTATAGAGACATAGTTACCGAGGACACCTGTTCTCCAAGTGCTGGCACAACGCCTGTATGTACCAAGTGCCCTGTGTGGGGCTCCTGTAGGAGACGTAATCCTGCAGGGTCGCCATGCCCAAGAGGAAGTCTGCTTCTGCAGGGATGCAGTCCAGCTGAAACCTCGCGTCTGTTTCCACAGAAGACTCTTGCTCTCCAGAATCCGCTTCGACGGTCACACCTTGCTGGCAAGCATCACCTTGGCAGGCCTGGACAAAAAAGACTTTGGGTTTTCCAGCAAGTGACTGGCAATTCTGTCCAGTGAAAGAAGTGGTCACCTCCTGGATAGGTACTTCCTGCCCATCGACACCGTATACAATGCCTTTTTTCCCATGAGACAGGATACAGCAAACGAAACAGTCTTTGTCCTTGTGGTCTCTACAGCGGTAGGTGTTCACAGTCGTACGAATTTCCTCTGCAGTGAGGTCTCTGTGTTCTTCTACTTCAAAATGAAGCTTGCTGAAGACTCTTCTTAGAGACACTGGAAAGTAAAGAGAAGGGGAAATGGAGCCATTTCATTGCACAAACGTTGGACTCTGCAACTGCAAATCACGTTTCTAGAGAAAAATCATCTTTTTTAAATTCTGCTACACTGCTATCCATGTAGCTACATTCCTGCCTTGAAAATAATCTATCAGTCTAATCACTAATCCATATCTGTAGTGAGTTTCCTTAATGCTCATTGAAAGGCTTCCTTGCACCTTGCTCCATGGTGCTGCCTCTGTTTGGAAAGCTTGCAGAGGGGTATGAAGCAAGCTGTGTCCTTCCCCCACCTACTTTACAGCTAGTCCCTTCACCTCTCACCAGGTGCTGAACAGCACAGCTGCTCTCCCCAAGAGACAGGGGCAGTGTCACAGGAAGAGGAACCTTGCACTCTGACTCCTGAATTAAGCTGGGAGTTCAATTCCATCAGGGAAAGTCCACTGATGGATTTTCTCTCTTGGCACAGACAGTGCAAAGACAGAAGTCTCACAGACTCCAGGACCTACAATGAGCTATGCTGCTGCAGGACAGCCTGCCCTTTTTTTTTTTTTTTTTCCTCTCTCTTTCTTCAATTAGACCTTGAAAAC